CCCCCACCCTCATGCCCTCCCGGGGTGCGTGCAGCAACAAGAGCTACCCCCTCTCCTTGAACCCCCTGGACAAGCCACTCTCTGCTCCATCCCACACCCTGCCCTGGTTATGCAGCGCCTGCCCCAGCCCCAGCCCAGCCCCACTCCTTCCCTCACTACTGGGGCCTCAATCTGCACACCCCCACCACCACCCCATTGCCCCTTCCCTCACAACAGACTTACCAACCCAACCCAGCTGCTGTCCATGCTGCCATGCTCCTGGCTGTCTGCGTGCTGCACTGAGGCTGCACACATACACAGGACATTTATCAATGCCACATCAGCCAAAAAAAAGACAATTGCTGATACTGTCAATTTTCCTTGTATCAATGCTGATCCGCTACGGGACCGATATATCAGTGCACCTCTATCCAAATCCCGAATGAGACCCGTCAGGCCTACTGAAGTTTGCACAAAGTATACAGCCTCTTTTTATCCATATAAACATGAAAGAATCACTGGAAATATTTAAACTAAATGCTTCCTTCACAACATTTCGTGATGTTGACTACATAATCAAATGGCAAACTGCCATTGTCCAACAGACTTCAGTTACCTTATGCACTACAGAAATGATGTATTCCAATATCCATCCGTCTGATACCCCCACCCCAACCTCTTCAATTTATTATACCAGGTTGTAGTGAAAAACCTGATTTTTCTTGTCTGCATTTAAGATACAAATATAAAACTGGATTCAGGATCCTGCGGACCACTGGACGCACAGATAGAAATTAACAATTCTCAAGTTCCACAGCAAAAGGAGGTATTGCAAAGGTGGCTTGTCTGTGCAAAGACTCCCGAGGTAGTATCTGCAAATGACTGTTGGAAACTGCATGTAAACTTTGCTTTGAGAAGAGCAAGATCTTCCAAGTGTAAACTTAGACAACTAGTGTAAGAGTGCTTGATGAACTAAGAATCTGAAGTTTACCTGCACAAGCTGTTGTTTCAACTTCTGGATTTCAGAAATATTTAGCTCACTCAGAAGATCTGAGACCAGACTTGGGGCTGGAGGGAAGCTGTCATTCTTTTTGGGTGTTGATGTATTATTCTTGCTACTGGTAATTTTGCTAAGGCAGTTCTGTTCAAAGCCATTCATGATCTCATCATTATTGGGCTCAGTGGCTTCATCGCTGAACTTCAGTCCATCCAAGGAGATGTTGAGGTGGCTGGTGTACATGGAGTCGTTGATGTTCATGTAATGAGAGAGCTCCTTGCGAAGATTATTCTTTTGCTCACGCTCCGTCTTCAGAGTCTCCAGAGCTTCCTCAAGCTGGCGTTCTGATATTTCTTTCAATCGTATGGCATCTTCCAGCTGGCTGTTGAGAAATTCTGTTTCCTCTTCAAGCCGTTTGATTTCATGTTTTAGGCCTTCAAACTCCACCTAAATGAAACACACAAGAAAAAATATGACCAACTAAAATCCCAAACAGTAAGAGCTTACAGGACAGTGCTAAACCATCATATATTTTTGCCAAGTACAAAAAAAATTAAAACAACGATACCCACCAATCCAATATACCTGAATTACACCCAACATTTTGAAGCATGGACCCTTTGGATCACATCTTATTCCATCTATTAGCTACCTAAAATAACTGAGATACATAAGTGTGATACTATTAGACCTTGTTAGAGTCCTTTAAAATCCACTAAGGCACTTATTTTTGTAACGTGCTGTCATCTTAGTCTTAAAATTAAGTCACAACAAAACAGTAAAGAATAGGAGGACCCTTCTACTTCATGTATTAATTGTTTTTGAGGGGCCCAGGCAAGGTCATCTAAGTACCCTTTGAATGCATAGAGAGGATAGGTGGAGTACAATCAGGCCTTTTGTGTTTGCAAGTGAAGATCTGAGAAGACCTGAGGGCTTCTTCTGGTTATCCCAACAGATTTAATAAATCTAATAAAATTAATCAAATGGGATTTTAGGACAGTAGAAAACAAAATAATCCCATGTCAGTATTAAAAAATGGTTACTGTATTTCTAAACATACCCAAAGTATTAGGTTTAAGATTTTACAAATCTCATGAAAGGATATATGAAACAAGTGATTGCCCAAAACTGCAGGCATCAGCCATGCATCCCAAAGTTAGCTTAGGTTCAAAGTTAGAACTGCTGAATTGAGCTGTTTTTGGATGTATGTACTCGTACAACTTCATTTCATCTAAGGGGCTGAATCAAAATCCTGCTGATTTGCTAGAGAAACCCAAATATACCCAATGAGGAAGAAACATGGAATTGATGCTGCTATATATGGGCCAGCCTTAAATTTGCAGCCACTTTGTTGCAATTCAAAATCTCTAATGTAATACTGGGGCAGCAGCCCTTGCATCCTTGTTGCAGGAAGGTAGGATCACCAGATCACCATGGGTTTAGCCTATCCTCAACTGCCTTATATTACAACCTATTTGGAGCCCTCTCCTGGCCACGTGGCTGATATGGAGGCTCGGTGGCTGCACCCCAGAATAGAGTTTCACTTTGAAAGATTTAGAGGTACAATTGGTATATCTTGTCATCAGGAAATGCTCTATTTAAAAAAAAACCTTCTGTTCAGACTGTTTAATATCCCCTTTAAATTCTAACTCAAAATAAAGGATAGAGAACAAATCCTGCTACATTTTAACCTAATATTTCCTATAAACTAAGGCAGAGACAACTATACATTATTACTGGAGTATTTCTCATTTAATCCATGTTACACTATTTTCTGAAGCTTCTGAAGGAATTTTTTTTCATTACTGTTTGTAAAGTGAGACTTCCTTGGGAAGAACTAAGAAATAAAGGCTTTCACAGGTGACTAGCTCATCAATATTCAACTGGAAAATTAGAAGTGCTAGGATTCTGTTAAACTATCTTCAGAAACTATAATACAAGAAAATTCTCAATTGATTGATAAAATATAATTATCTTTTCTGGAGGCTCTCCATATTATTAAAACTGTTTAACAATATGTAACTTAGTTGTACTTATAGATGGCACATATGCCAGCAAACAATATCTGACATCAGCACATCAATTCAAATGGTTACAACAGGGAGTTAGAGCAGAGAAGAGCAAAGCACTAAGGAGGAATAAAAGTAGCACACACCCATCTGGAGAACGGTTCAATACACCAACTACAGACTGTAGTACTGTACACCAGGTGGTACTGGTGATGCCTTAATGTGGTTTGAAAAAGTGGTGCAGTTAATTGGCTACTCCTACCAGTAACAGCAACAAAGGGCCAGCCTTTAACAGAGAAAAGAAAGGAGTGGAACAGGGGCGGGGCAATTATTTCAGGCAGAGGGCCGCTTACTGAGTTTTGGCAAGCCTTCGAGGGCCACATGACAGGCAGTCAGGGGCAGATAAATATTAATTTTCTAAATTTTTTAGGGGTCCCATGGGCCAGATGGTATAGCCTGGCAGCCCACATGTGGCCTGCGGGCAGCATTTTGCCCACCCCTGGAGCAGAAGGACTGAAGAGACCATAGTAAAACTAGTAGGGCATGTCCTCACGAGCTGGAATATGAGTTTCCCTCGGGACAAACAGCAGTGGCACATGCTGTCCCCAGGGAACACCTGTACACATGAGCTCTGGCATGTGGCACATTCCCCTGGGTGGGGTAGGGGAAGCTGGGGTCAGCACCTGGGCTAGCCCTAGCAGCCTTACCTGAGATCCTGGGGGCTATGGCTCTGGGGGTTGCAGTTGCAGCAGGCTCCAGTTTTGGGCAGTGCATGCTGCTGCCATGTGCGATGCCCTCCTCTTTTTTCTTTTCTTTTTTTTTTTTTTAGGCATGGGTTTTTTTGACATGGGCATCTCCCAGTGTCAAAAAAACCCAACCCCACAGCACAGGGAACGCTTGCATGTGTAGCATGAGATGCTGCAGACGGGTCTGTGGCGCTGCATACTACACGTGCATGCTTGCCTGGATGTGCCCATAGAGTGCATGGGGGAAGCAGAGAGAAAATGAAGGAAGAGAGAAAATTAAGGTGTTACCATACAAGTACAAAGTACAGAAGACAGATTTTGTGGTTGGCACAGAAAACTAGAGGTAATGGCCAAGTGAGGACAGCAGGTTGCAAAGGCATTTCCAGGGTAAGCCACTTTGCAACACTGTAGCCTGGTGCCTAGATGAGCCAGGTCAATTGTTTCTGGACTTACCTGATTTTGCTTCAGGACAGACACTTGCTTCTGAAGGCAGATGTTCTCCTCTTCCAGCTCCGTGTAGTCTTGCAGCAAACGAGCTTCTCGAAATTTATATTCCTTGATGTCATCTCGCAAGCGGCCCCTTTGGATCTCCACATTCTGATTTACCTGAAAAGGAAGCAGCAGCATACATTTTATACGGACAGCAGTGATAAATGGTATTTTTCTAAAAGCAAACTCGCATGTATTCTCCATGTAATAAGGCTAACTAACAATTTATTTTTCATTTCTGAACTAACACTATAGGAAATTAAAGTAATCTGCACAACAGTTATTTTCTTTTTGCTTATCTTGTGCATAACCACCCCTCTGCTCATACAGGTTTTCACCCAAGGGAAAAAAGTGGCACTCATATAAGGACTCTCTCAGGCTGTGGCAGCAGGCTGAAAGTTTTGTAGCTGGGAGTCTGAAGTTACATATCTGGGATCTGTAGTTTCAGATGTCTCTAAGTACCCACACGCAAACATTTCACCCATTGCTTGTGAGTTTCACCAGGACTTCCATGCTATACTGACAATGCAGCAGTCATTTGGGGATACTGCACTGAAAGAGACTGTATTTGACGCTGAAGGAAGTCCCACCAAGTCTAATAAAAACCAAAGATGTCAACTCAGAAGAGACCGGGGAACCCTGGTACATCGAACAGCATTCCCTCCTTCAATAAAGACACTTACACAAGAATTTGAGAAGCAAAGAGCAATGCTATTTTCATATGCTCATGACTGAAAAGCATGTTGAGATGCATGAGAATGAAAAAAAAGTACACAACTTGAGTTTTACATAGACTATGTGCAAATAAACAGACATTACAATTGCTGAGTGAACACAAATGCCAACTGCTTGAATAGCACATTCTAACCATATTTTTACCACTCCATATTTTTTCACCAATAGTTTTGTTTGAGCTATGTTATACCACTCACCTTGAATGAAAGCAAAGGAAAAAGTATGTTCTCTGTTAGTGAAAATATTTTCAGAAGGAAAATTGTTGAAAAAAAACAAACAAAAAACTTAGCCATAAAATTGTGACAAAACATTTTAGCAGCTGTACACTTCAAGGAGATAAAAGCTTTCCGAAGCAACTATGAAATGGTTCACAAACAAACAAGCTGATAAGGGGGTGTTGATTGTTATACTGTATTTGGGCTAGAACAGAGGTTCTCAAACTGTGGTCTGTAGACCACCACTGGTCCGTGAGCTCCATTCAGGTGGTCCACAGAAATGTGACCCAAGGCTAAAACTGACAAACATTACACCTGACTTCCCAGAACTTTGCTAAAAAAACCAAGCACATCCATAGCATTAGAAATATAAGACTACTGATATTAAAATATGAGTTGTGTGCTTTGATTTGTAGAACAAAAAAAAGTTTAAGTGGTTCAGTGAGACCCACAGCAATTTTCAAGTGGTCCTCGAAAAAAAAAGTTTGAGAACCACTGGGCTAGAACATCTTGTCTCTGCTGTCATTAATCCAGAAACTGAGCTAATATAGCAAGCATTCCACTTCTCTTCCAGAGTTCATATGTAAACTAATCCAGGGAGCCACATGGGATTTTTTTTTTTTTTTTAAACAGGTATATCTCTAGATGGAAATTAGACTATCAATGCTGCCTGCAGATGAATAAAAAAGCTCTGCATATGAATCAGCAAACTTTTAATCTGAGTGTGTAACAGACACACCCAGCACAAAGCACAAGTGTTAAAAAGGCAGTTACAGAAAGGACAACACAAAGAAAATAAGTCCGCTGCAAGAGGATGTGTCAACCCAGTCTGTTGTGTTTCCACGGGAACATGGATCACCTGAACAAGTGCAATAAAAGGTAAAGGATAGCTCCCTCGCATATCAAGTCAGTCTTCCAACTAAATCAGCTTATTTACTTTGAGCAGACAAGAAAGGAGTGTCCAACTCCCCAGCACAGTGAGCGACTAAAGTGATGTTGATTGCTAAAAACAGACACCAGATTACAATTAACAATGCAAATGAAAGGTCATTACATCTCATTCCACAGCATACATCACAGCCCTGCAATAGTACTCCCAGCTTCAGTGCCACAAAGTTTTAAAATAGCATTTCCTCTCTTTAACCAGAGCTATATATGAGAGAAATTAATTCAGAACAGTTTTGTTTTATTTCATAAGCATTTTACTTTAAGAGTAGGGTGTCAGTGCAAAAGCAAACTGGAGCTTAGGTTCAGCTGATTGAGATTCATGCAATTTCTAACAAACCAGTTAGGCAAAGTTTACAAACTGCAGTAGCCTCTCCGGCCCTCCTTTGCCTTCCCAATTGTCTCAAACAAAGCAAGTTCACCTAGTTTGAAACTGAAGTTGTGTAGAACAGTTGTTATGATTTTGTGCTTCAATGCCTTTCATTCAATAACCTAAAAGCAGTTCACAAGCAGTAATGAATAAAATTTCAAAGCAGCCTTCTGGGGTACAAAGGAGGTTTTCCCCACTCCCACCCACAGACGTGTCAGAACTCCCTTCTCTTCAGGTGTCATTTGGACATCAGCAGGAAAGAAGAATCCAAATGTAAATACTTAAAGCAATTAAAAAAGCTAAAACACACAACAGGCTTCTGGACCAGACTCATTTGCGTGGTAATTTCAGTTTGGAGACTTTTACCAAATTAAGAGCCCAGAGAGTTGTACTAAAATCAATGCAACACCTCTTGTGAGTAAGAGGCCTAGATCAGTAACTCTTCACACCAAAGAAGTCACAAAGTGTTTTCTTTTCCCTGGTTGTAACCTTAGCAAGGAGAAGACCTGAAGAAATCACTAAAACTGATACTTTTCAGAGAGACAGTGGGTTTAGGGCACACAGCATCCTAAGACATCTCCTGCTGCTGCATGCGAGTTAAGCAGGCCTAAAAAATTATACTGTAATATTTTCCTTCTCTACTTTGCATAAGATAATATTTGAATGCATACAAGAGCCCAGATTTAAAAATAGTTGGCTTCCTGACCAAGAAAAAAAGAAGAGAGAACTCAGATTCACTGGCTGAATAGCTGACCATGCAGTTAGATTGCTCTGACTACTAATTAAATGTCTGTTGCAGAGGTTCAAAACCAGTTCCCTACCCTCTCATCCAGATTCTCTCCCTTTCAGGTTGGGGAAATCATTTATTTCCCCAAGCTCTCTACATATACTGTATCATTTTAAATCCACTGAGTGCACAGATTGAATCTACTGCTTAGACTGCACAAAGTCTGTACTGAAGAACTGGTATCATATAGAACAGAACCTGGCACTACAGGGTATCAAGATGTCGGAACTCCCTCTTCTCTCCAACTAAAGATATCATCTGCTACACAAATCTTCCATCTCATCCTACACAAGAGAGGATATTGATGAAACTGAATGCATCCTAAAATGGTTTTGCTCACTTCAAAGCGCACAAACCATTTCTCTGTGCTGTGCATCAACCCTATCACTATAACAGTAAGGGTGAATTTCTGCTCTCAATTTCCTATTAGTTACGTTCCGACAGTGACCTCCATTTTATAGCACAGATGTTAGCTGTAAACGATAAAAAAATTCTTAGCATTAAACTAGGCATGGTCAACTACATGCTACCGGTTTTAGAGGCGTAGGTCTCACCACTGAAGCCAATTGTTCCAAAGCCTTTGGCACATAAGCTAAATCAAGTTTCTTTCCCACCCCCCCCCAGTTGAAGACAATGGACACTTAACATCTGAGAATAGCCGCTCTAACTTGGAAAAATCTGTTCCACACACAAGGTGTAACTGGTGTCCTTTTTAGTGCAAGTTGTGGCAGTGACTTTAGTAAGGCCAAAATCTGACCCACAGGAAGACTGTAACTTTGGTGTCTAGAAGAAAGAAATTCTCTCTTCAGTTCTTCAGTGTACAGGCTTAGTGCAGAGATAAACCCAGGTGATCAGCACCTAGTCTGGACTTCAAGGTTAGCTGAGCTAAGTGTAAGCAGCCACCTCTCAGTAAATGTTATCCCACGTACAAGCATTAATACAACCCAAGTTTAGCTTGGTTTATCTTTAGGACGCGTCTAAATTTTACAGCAAAAATTACGACCCAGAGTGCATGCAGCACTACAGTTTATGCCCCAGACAGGGCAGCTAAACTTGGGTTGAAAGTATACGAAAGCATAGATGAGAGGGCTGTGTTTGTGGGCAGATGTTGATTAGGGTAATAACCATAAGAGCCCATGTTCAGTCTGCAGTAAAGACATCTTCCCACTGGATACGGAGTCCCAAAAAAATTCAATATCAGGTCATTTTTATAACTTACCAGTTTCAACTCAGTGTCTATAGTGCAGGGGTGGGCAAAGTACAGCTCACCAAGGGAATTTATGTGGCCTATGGCAGGTCCTTCCAAAGGACCTGCCATAAAAGCCCAAGCCAGGCTTCTTGTATGTAGCCATTAGAGAAGAAGAAAAAAGGAATGGGGAAAAAAGAACAAAAAACAAAAGCAGAGGAAGATGGTGAAAATTCTGTTAGTTTAGATACCTTTTTCTCATCTAATGTGCACCTTCTCCCCCAAAAAACAGCTACTGGAAATTGGAGTGCGCACTACACATAAGAAATACGGTAAGAACAGTTTCTGCAGCTTACCTGACAAAAGTAAAGTCTGTAGCCATGCACACTAAGCAGAACAATGGGCAGGCTCAGCTCCCCAGCTGCCACACCTCAATTACTTACTGTAAGGAAAGATAATGAAGTTTATTTCCTACCTATGGGGACTTTTCACCATCTTGGAAGTAGGCAGATAAGGTTCTTTTGGTGGATGTGATACATTTTTTCCAATTATTCAGCTGGTTTAATAAAAGATATTGCATCTACCCAAAGAACCTTGTCTGCCTATGTCCTTAGACCAACACGGCTACAACCAACAACCCTAAAGACTTGGAAATGACTTTGTATTAGACAATCACAAGTTGCATCTATCCTCATCTTGCAAAAATGCAATTCAAGGGTAGCTCAGCCTTCTAAATTAGGTTGGCAAGGCACCCATTTTTCATCCAATAAAGACACAACTAAGTTAACAAAAAAAATCAGTGACCTGTATCTAAAGGGGTTTTTTTTTCTTACTCCCTTGGGTATCAGTATGTAATACATTCAACTTACCTAGCAGGCT